ATTTTTATCTTTTTTATTCCTTTTGTAACTGAAAAGCCCCTTTGGGGAGTTGCAAATAAAGTATGTATGTATGTATGTATGTAAGGGCTTTCCAAAGCAAAAGCTTTTTTAGGGAAACGGACTGGTCATGAGAGATTGGACGTATTAATATACGGAAGACTTAATCCGTTGAAAACTTCATACTTCATGATATAGTCAATCATCAAAATATGCTAGCAATTTATTTATTCCTAACAAGCCAATACCCCAACAATATATTATCATGTACCCCTCAAGTGTGTCACCCACACCACCGCACAACATTCACTTTCTGTTCGAAATTACTAGTATAAAGTTGCTTGTCGCTGTCAGTGTCACTCGCTTTGAGGAAAAGAAACATTTCAAGCCAAGCGGGCGGGCCGCACTACATCGAGCACGAATTGTTGTAAAATTGACCAATCACGGCGCGTGTACTATCTGAGTATATATAGTAGTAGTCGCTCTACTGTTCAGCGACAGCAAATGAAAAGGGCACGTGGCTTTGATAAGTCTTAACAAGTTTGGAACAGTAAATAGCAAAATGGTTTATAATTTGTGATTACATCTGATTAATATAGAGCTCTTATCACCTTTATTATAACCCTTACTGGATCGGTAGAAAAAGTGGGAATGTAGGGTTATGTAGGTAAGGGGGATGTATCGATAGGTTTCTGCTTTACAGAAAATTTCACTGTAAAATGATATCATGCTGGAACATAACGTCACGAATCTAACAATTTAATTGAGCTGCAAACAAAAAGAAATTTTCCGAGTTATGCGCACAATGACTTGCACTTCACTCATCTTCCACATCATTCTGCGCTGTCAACGCTCCAAGAGGAGATATTGACATAAACTGAATCCACTGATCGTCTTTAGAAGACACTACCAGGGTTCCGTCGGAGAACATCGCTATATCCGTGGGACGTCCGTCGATGGGGAATGCCCCCAGGAAAGTCCCGTCGGGTTTATAAGTCTGAATAGAACTGGAACCCCAGTCGCATACCAAAAAGGTTTCCTCCCTGGGATCAAAAGTCATTCCTGTGGGCAAAACCAGATGTCCATCGCCATTTATTTCATCGTCCTTCCTCCCGAAATGTCGAAGAAATTCACCGTTTTCATTGTATACCATAACGCAACCTTTTTCCATGTCTGTCACGTAATAATGTTTGTCATGGTAAAGTGCTTTGAAAGGGAACAACAGTGTGCCGTCGCCTGAAAACCCGAACCTCAAATCGGGTTTCCCGAAAGGCGCATCCGAATGCACGACGATGCATGCTCGGTACTGCTTCGCCAAGGGTTCGCAAGTGAGGAGGAATCGTCCATATGGATCGGTTGTGACGAAACAGTATTTGACGCCCCACTGCGGGCTGCTTCTGTAACTCACTTTAAATGTTCCTTCTTTGGGGTTAATCAGGTGCACGTCACGGGCGCCATTGACCGCAATTAAATCTTTATGGTCTTTCGAAAACGTAACACCTGAAAACATCATGGCTGGCTGGGACGAGTTTGCAGGAGATGTAAATCTTCTCACGAAATCGCCATTTCTGTTCAAAATAAGGATGTTGTTGTTTTCTGGATCTGCCACTGCCACGTGCTTTTCTCCATCTGTCGCGATACTTAAGGGAGAGAAAGATTCGAAGCCGAAATTCGAAGGAGTGATCTTACGAAGTGTAGTAAGCGATACCCTCATGACTTGAAGGGGAGTGCAAAGGCCAATTTTCACTCCACACTGGTCGCTCAGAGTTAAGTTTCCAATCCCCTGACTTTTGGCTTTTTGCAGAAGATCTTTGTTTGCGTCAAATGCCACAGTGAACGAATCCAGTTCGTTGATTTCTTTGTAGAGTTTGTCCTCGGGATTATCGCGAGCAAGGGAAGTCAAAGCGTTTTTCATCTTGGAAATCTCACCTTCCTCTTCTCGATCATAAACGTTTAAAGATAAATCAACTTGATCTTGTATCTTCCTTCTGAAGGCTTCCACTTTAGTTTCAACGCGGTTGAAAACCCTGTCTTGTTGTGCAATAAAGTCTTCCAACTTATCTATCAACTCCGCCTCGCTTTTTCTCGTCTTCTCCACAAGCGCGTCCGCCATTCTGTGAATTTCCTCCTTTAGACTGTCTCCGCGTTCGAGTTTTCGCTCTCTACACAACTTAAGCTCCTTGATTAATTCTCCTAACACTTCGGCTTTTGTGGTGCACGCTTGGATGCCCTTAGTAAGTTTTTCCCGCTCCTGTTGTGGTTCGGTCTGTTGCAACAATTTCACCAAGAACACGTTTGTTTGTAAACCATCTAGGTCTTCCTCTCGAATGAAAGATTCTTGGCGACACGTCGGGCACTGTAAGTAAGCCGGTTTCGCTCGCATAATAATATTCTCAAGACACTGTCTGCACACGTTATGATTACACGTTGGAAGAACTTTGGGATCTTGAAACTCTTCCAGGCAGACGGGACAACAATAATCGTAAAAATCACTGTCTTTATACTCCTGAGAAGCCATTTTGAATCAGTCGATTTGAAACCAGTGAAAGGAAACTTAACGCTTCCTGTCAGCGTACAGCTGGATACGGCTAAAAAGCTTAATTTCCATTTGATAAAATCGAAATTATGATAATGCCAGAGTGTGGCTGTCGCAGATTTGCATATCACGAGCTAACTCGACTGCGCTTATAAGATCAGAAGTAATTATTTTTTGTCCGATGTCTTGATAACGCGACAATATTACACTGAAGCAACACAACGTCGTCGAAACAATGATATATCCACGAAAAAATAAATCAAGTGTAGATTTATTTACACCTGCTATTCAAAATACCCTGGAGTCGAGTTTCGACCTCCAGTAAATTATCTGTTTACTCAGTTGTAGCAATGAAACCGCAATAGAAGAAACGATAGTTAAAATAAAAACACAAAATAAAACAATATTGAACTGTATTTCGATTCAAGAATTTAGTGCTTTACTCGAGGGCGTTCGAGCCCAAGCATTTTTTCCTACAATAAAGGAACAATATCCTCTTTAAGTCAATCTCTACATTGAAAAGCAGCCTATTTTATGTATTCCTTTTACTCCGAAAAGTAAACAAAATAAATTCAGTCGTCATTATATTAGCATATTTTATTCGTTCCTTGCTATTTCAGCGCGATGCATTGCCAAGCTTTGCTAATCAAGCAGAAAATCTCACAAAGGCAACAAGTTTATACTGTTTCGATGGGTAAAGAACTTAAACAATGATCTTCTGACCGATTCATAAATGAGTCGTGGCTTTATTTAATAGTCCTCAAAGAATACAGCAGGATGGTTTTCAGCGTATCATTACCTAGAGCTGTTTGTTTTTACCAGTCAATGTGAATCAACGATAAACATAATGACGATCTTTTTCTCAAACTAAGTTGCAAAATTAAGAAATTTCTACAAAACTACATGTAAGTATTGAAACGTTGAAAAGCCGGAGAGACAGACAGACAGACAGAGGGAATTTCAGACAAACAGACAGATAGTCAGTTTCTAGCCAGTCACCAGTGCAGTCATTCACTCCGTCAAACGAACAGAGGTGTGGACAGTCAGACACTCTGATACATTATTGTCTGTAAAAACCAGTAGCGCCTACGCAAGGTCATTATCGAAACAGTTTGTCAAAGTACCTCAGTATGCTTTTTAATAATTCAAGAGTTAGAAGATTCGAACACTGTCGATTCCTTTAACCGACAAAATGTTTCTCGATGAACAACAAGTTACATGTCCCA